GTAGGGAAAAAAAAGAAAGCTAAAACTTTTTTTTACCCCAAATCACCTATGGGGATCTAACCGACTCCCATAGGTGACTGTGACTCCTGAAAGTAGATGATTCTCACCAAGGGTTGGAGGGTGCATATGTTATTTGAAAAAGTCTCCCATCTCTTCAAGGAATACCAGCAACAGTAAAATTAGCCCTGAAGTTATTTTGTAAATTAATTCATATTTCTTTTTTCAATACAAAATCAGTTATATTTTTACAAAGAACACAAAAATTTTAGTTGGAATTTACAGCAAAGATTATTCTAATGTAGGCTCCAAGCCCACATCTTGCTAGCCTTTCTTTTATCACTGTGCACAACTGATCCCTTTCCCTCTTTATCAGACCTTAGGGGGTCCCTCTAATATGGATAATCTTTGACTTCAGGTGTGCATCTCTTAAAGAACTTGGGTTTATTCACTTTTCTTCAGTCTATAAATCTGTATTAGGCTTCATCATAGATACAGAATGAGCTCCCCACTGAAGTAGTCCTAAATTAGAAACTTTGAGTAATATAAAAAGAAGAAATTCCCTACTTTATTCATTCTGCACATGTATAATTCCATAAAACCAGGTGTATTTTAAGGGTATGTAATATTTATATATTGAAATTTAGAGTAACAAAAAATAAAAGGGTTTTCTAATCTTTCCTAATTCAAGTGTACTTCCCTAGTTGCTCCAAACATACCGAAAATTAAGTTGTCCAAAAGACCCTTCTTCAAGTCATTGATAATTTCAACTGTTCCTTAGTTCCTACAAAAGCAACTTTCACTGTGTTAACAAAAGTACTGGGAAAGACTGAAGTGTTGAGAACCCAAAAAATACATATCCTTCGATTAACATTCAGCACTCCCCCAAAACCAAATACAATTTTCTTTTACTTCCTTTTAAGCCAATAAACATTTATTGAGCACATATTATGTTCAAAACAATATCCTAGCCATTTAGAAAATAAAGATAAAGAAGCTTCGGTATGGTGATATGAAGGGTACACAACTAGCTGCAATATAAAATGCAGAATAACTGCTTAAACTTATAAGTATAAAGAAAGTGCTGAAGAGATGATAAACATTCACAAGGATTAAGTAGGGCTTCCAAAAAGAGCCATTAAAGACAGATGGTTTTCTGGCATGAGAGATAGAGGGGAAGGCAAGCCAGGTGAAGGGGACCATGTACAAAGGGGAAGAGATGGAAATTATTTTTGTCTGAGAGTAGCAGACAGTCAAGTTTGGCAGACTATGGCATAAAAACAGGAAATTGGGTCACAAATCAGTCTAGGAAGTAGGTGGTAGCTTAAATACAAAAAGTGCTGAAAGTCAAGGAAAGAGTTAATATTCAATTTAATAGGCAATAGACACTTCACACAACATACCCAAAGTGGAAACCTTCTTCCACCAACCTGCCTTTCTTCCATCTGTTTACCTCAGGCACTGACACCTCTAGCCTAAGGCAGAAACCCAGAGGTCATCTGGGCTACTCCCTCTCTCTCATCCTCCTC